CTATTTATGATGCAGCAAATCATAAGAAGTATCAAACTGAGTTATAATTCATTTTCACTTCAAGTCATAATTAGGCATCTACCGCATTGTATTTTTCCATAGGTATATCCCTAGCTCAGTAATTCATACTCCATCACACAGAACCAAAACAAATGTAAACTGAGTAAAAAACTATTTCTCTCCCCAATGTATTTAACATATGTATTAAGTAACTGTAATAAGTACAGCTACACATTACACCCAAGTGATATGCAGTATATTTTTTTCTATTATGCTAATATATTTCAGTAATTCTCACAAAATTCCCTAATGACTTTAGAATTTGAGGACTTATTAAAAACAACTGCTTGCTTCCAAGCATACGTTTACCAGTTATTTGCCAAGCTGTTTGGATAATACAGGGGGTGATTTGTCAGCCAGTTACTGGCTGCTGGTTTCCTCCTAATTTCTGAGTGCTCAGCTATTCAAGGGAGATTAGTAGCAGACTGGTATGGATTTGCATTTGAGGGAGGAATTCAGTTATTTTACCTTCTCCCTTTTCTTGTTCTTCTCCCACTGTGAGGAATTTTGTTCCATGGATCATGCAGGAAGCGCTGTGCTGCTAAAAAGTAGCAACTGTGATATAAACCTGCTCAGATCAGTGGAGTTTATTATAGCAAGGATTAGAGAGTCTTAGTCATATTTACAAAGAATTTCTCTCCAAAGCAGAGTGAAGCCCATGTAGCTTATTCTTCATAAATAAATACCTTTTTTTCAAAAAAAAAAAGCAGCACAAGATTAGTTTGGACATAGAGACCTTGTGTTTTACTGTGGGATATTGTATCAGCCTTGCAGGAAGGAAGTGCTGTTTTCTAGATGCCAGATCCAAGCCTCTAAAGCCCAGGACCACCATACTCGTTTTTTAAGATGCATATGCAGGGGTTTCTGAGGCACAGGGACTGTTCATTAAAGGTGAAAATAGGACACTACTTGTACATCTCTCATTGGCACCACCAAGGCCAATGGGTGTCCTGCAAAACCTCAGCAAATGCAAGGCACAAGTTTAGAGACATCTGGTGAAAGTTACAGCAAACTGCTTAAACTTCCTATGGTTTGTGGTGTTACTACTGCCCTGAGTTTGTCACATTTCCATCCTCTCCTGCTCTGACCTTTCACTCAAGCTCTGCCCCTTCACCTGGGCCCTGACACTCTGACCTATTCCCAGCAGTAACAAACAGCACATTTCAACCCCAACTCACAGCTGGCTGAGGTCAGGCTTTAACACCTCTAGCCATTATTCTACAATCCTGTTGGTCATAGAGTTATTCCATGAGAACATCTGTCTTCCACTTAAAACATATCCTCCCATTATTTTGTCACTCCTAAGACCACAGCTGGAGAAAGCAGAACCCAATACCAAAACAAGGCAACTTTTGAAGAATGCTGTAGGAAGCATGAAGGTAAGCTGTGCATCAGAATAGCATCAGAATACCTGTACTTCACAAGTTTTAGCCAAGAAAAAGTTATTGTATGCTGTGGTGGTGAGGGCAGAGCTCCTTCAGTCCACACAGGTCTCAGAGCCAGCAGGGTTAAACACACCCCCCAACATAAATAAAGCACCAGTGCCCTGTGGCAGGGGGGACCTGCCCCTCCAGATCTGTGCATGCCAGCTTTGGTAGAGACATCTGTCTGATAAATAGCTCATTTTGCAATCACTATCACATAATTTAGTATTTTGACAGGTGCATAAACTTAACATGAGCTTTATATAAATATTAAACAGTCTTTCTAAAAATGAAAGCTCTGAAATGAACACAGTTCCCTAGGCCTGCCTTAATAATTATTCTGAGGAAAGATTTTGCTGAAGAAGAAAGGAAAAGAGATTTCTCTAGTGAAAGAGCACTGGAGTAATCTGGTGATTTTGTATCTCAGTTTTGTGATTTTCAGTTTCAGGTGCTTTCTACCCTTTGTTTTGGTATTCTTGTTTTTCATTTTGTTTTTGAATTCTTTTGTTTTGTAGTGGGGTTTGGCTTATTTTTATTTTAATTTCTGTTTTTATTTTAATTTCTTTTACAGTTCAAGCTTATCTCTTTCTCCTTATCCTGAAGGGAGATGTTTACTATAAATTTGCAACAATATCACAGAATGGGATCAAGGCTGAATGAATACACAAGAAGATTTAAGAAAGCAAATACATGATAGAATTAATGAAGATGCTCTCTCCTGATGCTCTTCCTGTTGCAATACCCCCTTCACCCCACCACAGCCCTTCTGTTGGCCACCTCCTTCCTCCTGGCCACTGTTCCTGCCCTTGCTGGGTAAGGCTTTGTTCCTGGAGAAGCACTTAAAGGATAAATCCTGAAGCCTTTGTGCTGGTTTTTTTGTGGGTTTTTTTTTGCTTTTTTTATATTTTTTTGCTTTTTTTATTTTTTTCTCCCTCACAGACATTGATTTTACCAAGAATGTACTCTGCTCTCAGCACTTATTGCAATCAACATGAAAATAGTGTGGTACCACTTCTGAAGGTACCTTTCTTGTTTTGTCTCCTGTTACAAAAGATCATTTAAAGTCAATGATACAGCTGAAGCCTGCTGCTTAACTCCTTGTAACAATGTTCTCTTCTTTTTTGTCCTTAAATACAGTATTTAAAGTATCCTTTTATGAGGCTTTCCTCTTGTCATGATGAAACTAAAAAATAGTGAGATAAATATACTCCTGCTATGTCCTACTAATGACAATTAAAAGTTACACAAAATGCATGCCTTTTTTTAAAGACTGTTTTAATGGTAATCAGATAAATAAATTGTTCAACCCAACTGAGAGAGCCAACCTTAGGACTGAAAATTATGACCCACAAGATCCTGATTCCTAATTCTCCTCTGTGGTTAAATCTAAAGGTTCTTAGCTAAAACCAGCATGCATGCCTCAAAACCCCAACAGAGATACTGTCCAAGACACCAAAAACCTCAGTGAGAGCCCCAGTGTAAATCACAGTGTCTGACATCTGCCTCCATTACTTTCTTGTACACCATTTTTAAATACACCATCACATTTACCTTTTTATTTATTATTTATTTGTTTATTAGCTAGATGAGTAAATTCTATATATCACATGCTACATTGGATATTTTGTTCATTTCTTACTTTTCTACTATAGGGAAACACACATTAATTTTAGCTCTGTGATTAGGAGCTTTTTTCCCCCTATAACTTCAGCTGTATTTCAGTCTTTTATGCCTTCATTGAAATCCCTTGCTGACATGCAGATACAAAGAGAAAAGAAATATTCAGACATTACTTTTATAAGGGATTAAATTCTGCTGGATATGACACTGAAGGTGAAGTTTTCAAAAGATAAACTTTCCCATAGGATTGAATGACATAATTCTAAAAATGCTTTTTTAAAATGGAAATTTATTAATAATGACCTTATGCAAACAATTTCTGCGGAACTTATTTCTGTGACACATCAGAAGTAAAGCAACCCCATAAAATCCAGAATGTTCTTTTCTATTCTTTAGTATTCAGACACAGAATATATTTTATTGTCCTTTTATTTTTTTTTAATTTTAGACCAGTGAGTTTATCAGATAAGTTGATTCATGATACCACACTACAGAGCCATCTTCCTTTAATCTTCAGGGTGTGGCTTTGAGGATGCACTGGATATGAGACTGCAGCTCTGTGCCATCATGTTGCTAACAAAATAAATGAGGAAAGCCAGTCTGAACTCTGCTTTCAGAGTCTAGCAAAATTAACCTAGTGTTTAATCAATCTAGTTTATTATTTAAAGGTAGGTGAGAGCTGCTCACCTCAGGTTTAGGTCTTGTGTGTGCTACTTTAATGCACAAAAGTATATCATCTATGGAGAAGTGTGGATTAACTATAAGTTTCTCTGTAATAAATTAATATGCATCACTGCTCCTTGTGCCACATTCCAACACCAGAAAATACAGCCACAGGCACATAAGTTGAAAATCTAGACCACCTATAAATATAAGATACTTTGAATTTAAAATCCAATTCATTAAATGCAAATGCCAAGAACATTTACAGAAGTTGTCAGGAAAATCCAATTCCTGGATCTTTGCTCTCTATGAGAGCAAATCAATTCTAATTCCTACATACCTCTTTTGACTAATTCTATATCATGTTACCTTTCCCTGGTCCTTATAGGAATAAAATCTCTGAAGACCCTCATTATTATTTGACCAGAATCATTCCAAATAAATAGAATTTGCATGTGTTGAAATGATTTTCAATGACAGTAAAATAATATGGATCTCAATACAGTAAGAAAGCTCCCAAAATATTTAGCAGTGGTTGTTTTTAAGACCCATCTGAATTTCATGGACAGGTTTTATCATGTGTGATTTCCATTCCATTTTCTTCATCTCTGTTATAGCATAAAATTTCATCAAGTGTAAATGTCAGATCTTTTCTTTATTATTTGCTAATGTCATAAAAAGCTGAATTGTTTGCTTTGTTAAAGGGCTTACTGAGCATTGACTTTTCTTTATTTGTATTTTACTACCAAAAATGTTTTAAAAAATAAAATAATAATAAAAAAAATCCCATCTGAAATGGAATTTAAATAACAGAGCAAGGTTTGCCATTATCATAAGTGTATAAAGTGCTTTGTGAGTAATAAAATGGATCATGGATTCTGGATAATTCAAACTGAAATGTTATGTTCAGTATCAAGATTAGATTACATTAATGTGGTTCATTTTAAATGGTTTAAAGGCCATCAGATGCATGTGAAAAGAATCTGTATCATAACTTAGAATAAATAGACTGAGACATTTGTTTATAATGTCAGTGCTAAACAAATCTATTACTACATTTCTGCATGTAACATTATGTTTCCACTGTTATTAAACAGGCAGAGCATGAAGATAAATTATAGCTTTAATTATAAACATTACCTTTGCATATTTATTAATTTAAAATGAAACAATGTTCACTAACCTCACATTATTTATATTTTCTAATATTTTAATTAACTTTGGTTTATTTATATAACTTCTTTGCTGCTGCTGGTCATACATAGCCACTTGTGTAGTCTAATTTATCACACTACATATTACACAGGAAATTATACAATACTGTTATGGTTAGCTTTGCTATAAGATACATAGGGGGAAAAGAAGAGTTAATAACTGATGGGAACTTGCAGCTCACTCTTAGATATAAACTCCAGCTTTGCCTTTTTTTTTTTTTTTAAATTACACCCATCTAAACAAGATTCAAAGAAAACTCTGCTTATCCTGAAACTATTCCATTTGACACCATGCCCTTGATTCAACATTGCTAGCATTCATTCTTAAAGAGATTTGGGGAGAAAAAAAGTCCTTGAAGGACTCATATTTATTATAGGTCAATAATGAGGAGATAATGGGCAAAAAGGAGGAATTAAGGTCATAATGCAGCCTGAAAATTTCCTTTGCCTGGTTCAAGTATTTCAGAGGAAGAGAAACTGCTGAAGTTTCAAATCCCTGGATGAGTTTCAAATCCTTCCAACTTCCTGCAAGAAAATAGGAAAACAAGCTTAACAGTGAAATTCTTACTGCTGCTTTACAATGAATGTCTTTAAAGCCTCCAGTCAGCCAAACTTAGCTAAAGTCAAAATGGGACTCAGATGACTTCACCAGCAACTCTGTCAGGCCCACCTGCAAAAACCCCATGGCAGGAGGGATGGACAGGGTGGGTTTTGCCTGGCTCTGATCCCAGTGACCTGATTTAAGGCTGTTATAAAGCTTTTCTCTTAGGATAGATGGGGGAATGTATGGCTGGGGAAGTGGCCAAAGGATGAAGACATTCCCATAGAAATTCTTTTGAAATTCATGTTAAATACTATTAAATATTGGTTTATTCTGATATGGGTTCTCATTGTCCCATGTATCTGGGAGAAAATTTGTTTAATGTTGATTCAAGTTTAAATATTGTTTTTAAACCTTTGGAATTTATAATATTTTCGTAATTAAAGTTTTATAAAATAAAATTCATCAATGCATTAGATATCTTTAATATAAAAAACCTTTGCATCATAAATGTATTTAAATTAAATAACATATTTTCATTGTATTCCTGTCTCCAAATACAGAGTTGCCTTAGTAACCACAAGCCAGAGACACTAAAGGGAACCAGCTAAAGAGGCCTTAAGAGTGGAATGAAATACTAACACATTTTTAATATTAAACAGAAACCTTAAATTAAGTTTTAGAAAGGCTTAAAAGTCTGTGATCCTTATCTTTACAGCATCACATATCCTGAAAAAATAGGAAGCTTAATATACCCCATTTTCTACACGCTACCCCATTTATACCCAATTTTACCTGCAAAATGCTGAATGTGACTGGAATCAGCATCAATCATGTTGGGATGTAGCCAAATGCAGAGAGGCTACTGGTGTCCTCATCACCACCAAGTGCACATTTTCAGCAGAACAGGGGGATTTGGGACTCTGCTCAAGGCCTATCACATCTGAAAGGAAATAAACAGAAGAAAGTCCAGGTCAATCCTTTTTAATAGTGGAGCAGCAGAAAAAAAATTGAATGGGGTGAGCTGGGGGGAAGGGAGAAGGGGCTTGAATTATTTCTAAGGGGCAAAAAAGAGTTGGACTTTGTGGACACTTCCACAAAATTTTAGTTCTCCGGTCATAATTAACTGACCATGGGGCCAATATTCTCCTACTACTTTAAGATTTATTTTTTTATCACTCTGACCCCCCAAAAAGGGGATTATGCCTTTTTAATTGTTGTCCTAATTACAAGTAAATGAGTCCAAATGTTGTACTTTTTCGACTGTCTGCACCCAAAGCAAAAACTAGACCTCAGTCTTTATCTAGGACCACCAAAACTTCTGTATCCTTAAAAAAGATGCACCATACTGAGTTACAGTCCTATCAATGAGAAAACATAACCTTATTAATTATAAACCTCCCCTTTTCCAAAAGCTTATCACTAATCTAATCTAAGAGCAGTTGAAACTTTTTTGTGAGATCACATGTTAATTTTGGATAATCATCACTAAAACTGTCTAATTATTCCAATTCATTATGATGACTAAAACCTCCTTTGTCAGCTCTTTTGACCTCTATAGTTTTATTATTCTTTAAATCATTTATAGCATGTCTCTTGCCATAGCTGAAATTGTAATTAACCTTAGCAATATCATCAAATGTTTTATCAAGTTCTTCATCCAAAACTTTGGGAAAGGTTAAGAGCAGTAGGCAGAACTAAAAATAAAATGTTCTCAATGGTGGACCTTGTTCATCCAAGTTTGTTGTGAAATAATGATGTAAAACCAAGGTTATAGATGAATGATGAAGTAAGAATCATCATTCTTCCTTTAAGAGAATATTGTCTTAGTTCCAGCATAAGACGACAGTATTTTTAATGATATCCAATTAAACTCAATAAACCAATTAGCATTAACTCTCAGGGTAATTACATCTCTGGGCTTGACAAAGATCATACTTCAACCAACATGCTAGCAGAGCTTAGAGACTGAATAAATGTGTGGTTTACCTCACAAGGTCATCTCCCTGATGTTATTATCCCTGACAAAGGAGTCAGCACCACAAGAGCAGAGCAAGATGGCAAATGTGCACACTTGTCTGATCGGGCTTCTGCCCAATTTTCTTGATAGGCAAGAAACATCTCCTGGAAAAGCTTAGCAAAACTCTGCACCATTCCAGCCCTTCTTAACAAAAATGGAGGAGAAAAGCAATCTAGCCATGCAGAAATTAAAGTAGGAAGTGCCAAGATAATGCAATTTTACTTTGTATATGCCGGAAAGGCTGGCAGAGCAGAAACAAAAGCTATCCATGCGTGGTGTACCTGGGGAGAGGCTGCAACTGTGAGACTCTTGTATCTGCCTTAGAAAAGGGGAATTATGCAAGTCTCAGGCTGCATTTACCAGCAATTCTATTCCTGTGCAAATGACTTACAGGAGAGGAAAAAACCAAAATCTTTTGTTCTAATTCAAAAACAAATTCTGCCAAGCTTATGACACCATCTTAAAATACCTCAGAAAATGCTTGAAGATTGAACGGCTATTGACTTCACTGTTCAAATTTCAAACAAAAACATTTTCCTTAGATTTTATTTAGTATAGATTTTTGCAGAACCAGTTCCTACTAATCAAATGTGCAAAATGTTATTAAGACAAGGAAAAAAAATGATCTTATTTTGATCCATTTTTTGGGATGGATGGAAACTCTGCAAGAATGATTTATTACACAGCTTTATAACAGTTCCTGCTGGTGATCACAGATGTCTTAAAATGCAAAACTGAAAAAAGTGATAGACATTTATTACTGCAATGTATACAATAAGTTTGAAATTAAACTGATCCCAAATTTGTTGTATTTTCTTAACTATTTCAACTTTCTCTAATACCTTCACTTGTTCACTTCAAGAAACCTTAGGAAAACCATTTGAGAAAAGATAATGCCAAATCTGCTATGACATATTTAATACTATGCCAGATTTGAAAGTTGACAAAGAATCCTAATTCCAGCATGAATTTTTCCACTGAATCCTAATCATAGGATTTGATTTTAAAAGATGTTAAAAGTGGCATTTGAACTTCTATGGCAAGTGCTCTATATTTGTGAAAACAGATGAGATGAGGCAGTGCTTGTTCTTCTGAATCCGCAAACATCCATTGTTAAATCCTGCTCTGAAATGCATCAAGGACTAGCTCCAAAGGCTGTTTCCTTTTCCCTCGCTCCAGTGAGAGCCTCCCCAGTGGCCCAGCCTTCTGAAGAGGAAAGGGGTGAATCACTGCACAGCCAGGTCTCCTGCTGTCTCCTGTGGCAGCAGATGACACAAATAAATACCAGGATGCACAGGGGCTTTGTTATGTAGGTGGGAGAACTTGCAGGGCTTGCTCAGACCAGACTGTCCAAAGGTTTGGGGTTTGTATCCAACATGGGGCAGCAACATTTGCACGGCTGAGACTCCAACAAACTTCTTTTTCAATTTCACAGCACATATCAGAGATGCTGTTCTACGAATGTTGTGTATATAAACTTACTAACACACCAATTTAATCAGGCCTGCCACAGTACCTTAGCTATCATTTAATTGAATGTGATTTATATCTTGCAGATTTAATAGCTATGTGATTTACCCACTTAACCAAAAAAAGACAAATATTAACAAACGTTCTACCGTGAACTCAAATTAAATATGGTAGGTTTATTTCTCTGCACTTTTTATTGTGCTAAATAAAGCTTACAAACTGAATCTGTAGAGGAAAAAAAATGTTCCTAGTTATACCTTTCTAATTTCTATCAAGAAAAATCAAAACATCATTGCTGATGCAGCTAAAAAGATCTCATTAAGTCCTACTCATCCTTAGCACCAAACAGATCTTTTTCTAGTAGCAGGTGATCCTTTATCTCCCCCTTTTCCTTCAGGTTAACTGCGTTCAACATTTGTCCAAAAGACTGCAACACATCTTGTGACATTTCATAAGCTTTATAAATTCCATTTTTCCGTTTTACTTGTCTCCTCTGGTAGTTTTAAATCAGTTTATCTCTCCCACAGAGCAGAGGTCTTGACCTGACACGGACCTTTGACCGTCGCAGCGCTAACACAAGAGCTCACTTATCAGACCCGAGTGCCTTGGAAACCCAAAGACAGCTGGCACTTACAGAGAATGGGAGCTTAGTAAAATTAATGATGTTGCACTGAAATGCACAAGGTAAATATTTTGATATGTTAGAAGAGCATATATTCCCATAAACCTCATCCATATGGACACTGCACATGAGTGGGGGCTGAGCCGGAAAGGGAGAAACAACATTCAGTGCTAAAAAGTGGCTGCTTCCTCTCCAAAACAAGTTTGATTTTTAGCTCCCAGATTTCTATTTTCTTTAATTGAGTTTTAAAGTAAAAGGGAGGTCAGTCTACTCATCCTTGGCCTCGGAAAACTATTGAAAGTCAGAGATATGTGGGAAGCACCACGACCTCTTCTGCACACCTCATGAGGGGCAGCCAGGTGAAATTTGTAAGTCAAGTTGTCATAAAACTTATGAAAAACACTCAAATTAATTAAAATGTTTGAGGAAGAATATATCTAAAATGAAACTTTGATATTAAATGCTAAGCAGAAGAAGAAGTTATTTTTACTAGAACATCAATTTGTTCATTTTCAAGAAAATTAGGAAATAGCCATGTTTCTTGTTTAGAAAAAAAAACCAACTTCCAGTAATTTAGAATTTAAGTTCTTATAAAAGCTAGGAATACAAAGCATGAACGATGTTTTCTTCAGAAAATTCTTCAAATTTCACCACTGAAGGGAAAAAAAAATAATAATATCTACAGAAAAGAAAACACATTTTAATTATAGCTCTATACATGTTTGTTATTGCTACCACAGTGATCATGCTTTCTAAAACACCTTCTGTCTATCTGAAGGAAATTCCTGGAGGGCTGTAACCTTGAGGAATTTAAGAGTGAATATACAAGGCAAAGAGACAGAGTCAGTGCAAAGGAGAGCTGATTTATTGCAAAAACCAGGCCATTTTAATCATTTTAAGCAGGTTAGCAGTTCACACAGTTTTAAGGCACAGGAAGCCCCAGCCACGCTCCCACCACGCACCACGACGTGGGCACGCGGCACGAGCTCACCTCTCGCTACCCCGGCTGAGCCACTCTCCCCTGCTCTGCTCAGCCTCAGCTACAGGCCTCAGCCATCATTTTACTTATAAAATAAGGCCCTTATTTTATAGGGCTTTACCTACATGCAACAAGTGAATATTCACCACCTCCGAAATTAGATCACACGCAGGAAAGATATCTGGAATGACAAAAATAACTCATTTGTAGTTTGATGGAGTTAAGGAATCAGTCTTAATGCATCAGCTGGATTTGAAATTTCGTATTTCTTCACCATATCTAAGTCTGTGCTAGAGCCAAAACAAGGAAAAACCTTTTCAGGTCTGGGTTGAGAGCTGGAAAAGTGTAGCTATAATCAGCTATAATCACAGCAGGGATGCACTGGACACACTGTTCAGCAGAAAAGGGACCTTGCTTATAAGGGCTGTATTTTTTCTCATGTTCCTGCACTTCCTCACACTTATGAAAAGGAACACGGCTACCTGGAAAGCCAGTGAGCTGCTTCCTAAAAGCTGTGAGATATCTGTAATTAATGTTTCCAACCAAGTTTTGTAATTGTCAGCAGAGGCCACTGAAACTCACTAAAAATCCATCCAAGTATTCTGCATTTGTACCAGCAGATACATTGTGATTCAAGAGTATTAAAGAATGAACAGATTACTGTACTCCTTGTTAATCATTTCTGCTATTGAATTATCCTAATAATATCCTGCTGAGAAGAGGTACCTGGGCTGAATTCCACTCACTTCAAGAATCAAAATTAAACTTGCACTGATGAGCAGGAAGAAGTGAGACAGAGGGAGGGAGCGCTGAGGGGAGATCAGCAGTAGTCTTCAAAAGTTTGTGGAAGAT